CCCTTCCCAGCCAAAGCATCCCCTGCTGATGCAAGGTGGCCGTTCCAAAGCGACAAGCAGCAATGGTTGGAACATCTTCTGGGCAGAGAAGCAGGCTCAACGTGTTCTTCTACCGGGTGAGACTAGTCAAGAATGCAGGCTTCGGACTTTGGATGAGAGCAAGAATGCTTGGCAGCTTTTAAGCCCAGAGGTCAAAGGGGAATACCGAGAAATGGCAAAAGCATGTAATGCAAACAAGAGGGCATCTCAAATTGTGTCCAATTTCGAATGTCAGCTTGCATGTGCGGACCAAGAGGGCGAGCTCGCTCTTGCAATTGAAAATTCTATTGTTCGTGGTGGTTTTTTGCTACCAGAATTGCTTCCAGGGAATGGGCTAGGGGCATTGGGTTGTGGAGATTGGAACTTTGGTGTTGCGGAGAAAGATGTGAAGCAAGCCGATGAATTCTTTCCTGGGTTTGTCAAACACTTTTCATCGAAATGGCGAAATCAGTGCGATGGAATTTCGGGGGCAAACAGTGCCCTGGTCAACATGCAAGACAGGTACAAGCTGTCTTGTCTGGATCAGTAACTAGCAGAACATTGGCAGTGTTTTCTAAGCAATGGCACATGTTTTGAAAGGGAAAGAAATAACAGCCGCTGGGTTTGTGCAAGAGTCTTTGAACTTTGTCCTGACCAATTCTCTCTGTTTGACGATGTTTCTGTTAGAAGTTTCAATTTTCGATTTCTAGTGAATTTCAGTTCAGTTCGGATTTTAATCGAATAGAAAGTGGTAAGTTCCTGTCTTTATCCTGCTGGTCAGTCAGAAGTATTCAACTTCCGAACTCCCAGGTTTGGCTTTTGCAAGGGCTCTATTGAGTCTGGGAACCTGTACAACTCTGTTGTGGAACAGCTCCGAAGCTTTGCAAGGTCCCACAGGCGTCAGGTTATGAACACCAAGAAAGAGGCAAAGGCGAATGGCAAAGTTTGTGTTCCTTTGGTGCCGCACACTTTACTGGTCTTTCGCTCTGAGTGTGGGGGGAGGCTACTCGGTAAACTCATCCAGAGATCAAATTGTTTTTTTTTCGCCATGGCAAACTCACATGACGGTATGGCTATGGAATGCGAAAGTCATGTGTTGTTTGTGATCTTCTCCCTGTTCTTGCTAAAGTCTTCTTGCTTAGACTCTCTTAGATTCAGACTTAGACTTTAAGGAATCAGAGATGGCAATTTGCTGCGCATCTCATGTCCTTTGTGCAGTACAATCCGTATGCAACTGACTGGTGGGAGTGGGATGTGTATTCTTCCGAAGAGCCTGGGTTCATGGAGGCTATTCCAAAGTTCAGTGGCAAAGGGACTGAGGGAGAACTCCCAGTAATCCTTACTCAAGAGAAATTGGCACGGACTGTAAGCAATGCCGCTCACTCTGGCCAAACGATGCACATTGCTGATGTGAGCTATGAAGACGCTTGACTTGACTCAACCTCCATCAGTTCAAGTCGTTCAAGTATTAATCCAATAATGAAAACATGCATACTGTAAATTACGACTGTAGCTGAGAGGTGTTGTTCTGTTGGTTCTGCTCTAGCTACTCTGCATGAGAAAAACCATTTGTGGAGAAATGAATGCCTTTGAGGTATGTACCAGGCAGGCAATTGATGTGTTTGTTGGCATCCTACAACCGAATCTAATTTTAATAGATTCTTACAATATATTTTATCTTACTCGTCTATATGATATATTTTCATAATAAATTCCTACTCAAGTACTGCAAGCTCAAACCGTGTGCCAAGGTGAAAGCATTTGACACTTTACACTTTCAAATTCCAGCTGGTGATTCGGAGTCTTGGCTTTCAGTTGGTGAAGCGAACATCGATGTCCATAGTTCTGATGAAGCGGAAACTACTGCCAACTTCAAATCCCTTTTCTTGAAGGCTGCTAAGCCCAAACAAACGAATCCCTCAAAGCAATCGGCTACAGTGCAGAAATCACGAGTTGGAGCGCCCAAAAAAAGGAAGGCTTCTGCAGCACAGGAAACACAAGGCAGGGTTTATTTCAGAAACGGTTATGGCTATATGGGGCTAGGTAAACAGTTTCTGTTTAGTTCAGGTCGGGTTAGTGTTTGTGCACTCTATGAGGGATGATCGTATTCTTGCTCCTTGATCCCTTGATATGTTATATGTTTTCTGTCCTGTTAATTTTAAAGTGACTTGACTAAGGTGATGCATTGGCAAATGATTACAATCTTTGACTAAAGGGACTGAGGACATGCAACACTCATGGCTCTTTCACTACTTTTACTTTACTCTACTGTACTTCATAACTGCATATGTGAGCTGTGAACATAGTCAAGGATTCATTGCATCCAGACACTCGCTGTGTAGGTGCTGAGCCAATCCAAGATGCAGACGCGAACGACTCAGATGATGAAAGGCTGAAACAGATCTGGGAGAACGCACACACATTGGCCACTTGTTTCACTAGTTGGTTGGACATGCTCTGCAGGGCAGAACTTTGCGATTTGTAGGTCTTAGTTGAAATGAAGAAGAATAACCAAGGCCAAAGGAAACGTAACAAAAAAATAATCTATGTCTATGTATCACTGACAGACATATCAAGAGCAGTCCAGAGTCAAGAGCAGTCCAGAGTCCAAGTATCAGGTCTAGCTTCTTAACTTCTTAACACACATGTCACGAAACGCCTTACTTTTTTTGAGTTTGACTCTGACCGACTTCCCAAACGCCCAGGAATATGGCGGCGTTGTTATGACAGGGGCATCCTCGTCTTCTTCCTCTGCATGTCCTTCCAGACAGGCTGCGAAACCAGCATCAAGCAGACCAACGGCACCAGCACAGAGCCAACCGGTTACTTCAACTGAGGATGATGCGGAGTTTCGGGTTCTTGATGAAGCTTCTGGCAAGACGATATTTCAGGATTCAGCTGGGAGAGTCTTTTTCTCAGGGAGGCATTCAGCCTTAGGCAAGGGGCACAGCCAAATTCTGTAGGCTGCGCAGTTTCAACAGTTGGCTGGCGGCTGGCTCATTTAGTTTCATTATTATAAATTGATTGATACAAGGAAAGCATACTAAGACAAGCCGCGAAAGACCCCATGTTGACAATGACCACCATACTATACCTGTAATAGGACAATGCAAACTACCCTGTGTGATAGGCCGTGTCACCCAATGGAAGCAAACAACCAGTGGCCACTCAGTCAGCATCGCCTGCTACCAGCACAAAGACTGTCGCAAAGCACTTATGGCTTCCAAGCTTCTGGCAGGGTATGAGGCTAGATGGCCAGATCATCTACTTACTTTTGTTTGTGTTTGTGTCTGTTTGTGTGTATTTCCAGGGGAGGTGTAACATATAGTTTGGGGTCATCACATGCGTTCAGGCAAGCGTGATGAAATGGCTGCACCATGGTCTCACCTTGACAAACAGGCAACAAGGAGCAGAACACCTCGCTGCGTTACTTACCCTACATGTGGATTTGGATGTTTATTTTAGTTGTTTTGTTTGTCTTGCCCTATGTTCACTATAGTGCGCTGGGTGAGGGCATTGTCTTCTGTGGGAATGTACAAGTGGAAATCAAAGTTGTTACTAGTTACCTTGGCCAGAACTGCCTTAGGTTTGACAGCTTTGTCATGCGAGAGACAATCTGAGAGCGGGGATAATGCGGGACACTGATTGCACAACAAACCGAGGCGTGACAAAAGTGTACTTTGGTGTCACATGTTGAGGGGAACTTCTGCCAAGTTACTGATAGGTGAACATGTGGATAGTTCAGACTTGCCGTCTGTGTGCATGCACCCCTGTGTCAGTCTCACTGTACTCTGTACCCGGCACTGTACCACTGTACCGCCACTGTACCACTTGCACCGTACCACTGTACCCTCTGCACTGCACCACTGTACCCTCTGCACCGCACCACTGTACCCTCTGCACTGCACCACTGTACCCTCTGCACCGCACCACTGTACCCATTGTGCCGTACCATTGTACCCCTTGTACCGTACCACTGTACCCCACCCACTGTACCCCAAAAGTTGGTCGACAAAAGTGCAAAATTGGTCGACAAAAGTGCAAAATTGGTTGACAAAAGTGCAAAATTGGTTGACAAAATTCTTTTGAAAAAGGGTACGGTGGGTAGGGTACAGTGGTACAGTCTAGGGGTGCGATGGGTACAGTGGAGGGGTGCGGTGGGTACGGTGGAGGGGTGCAGTGGGTACAGTGGAGGGGTGCGGTGGGTACAGTGGAGGGGTGCGGTGGGTACAGTGGAGGGGTGCGGTGGGTACAGTGGAGGGGTGCGGTGGGTACAGTGGAGGGGTGCGGTAGGTACAGGGGAGATGGTATTTTTGGCGGCGGGTGGAAGAGGGGCAAGACATGATTCAATCACAGACCTGCAGAAGCATTTTGCATCAAAGACTAACAAAAAAGTGGTAGTTCCAATTTCCAATTGTGTGACCTCACAATGGATTGTACGAGTGTGAAGTCATCGGAAGCTACTTGTGGGTCCCGTCCGAGCAAGCGCGCGAAAGCTTTGATTGGGACGAATGACAAGCCACCCGCATTGCCTGAAGGCGTACCATTGCCAACTGGCTACAAATGTAAGCGTTGTCGCTACTGTCGCCAGTGGAGCCAGTGCATGTGCCCTTGGGAACTCCAAGGGACAATATTGGCTCCATGGCACCCCCTTTTGCCATGGGCACGTGGCAACATGTCCAAGCCGTCCGGTGATTTGTGCAAGCTCTGTGCAATTGTGTCTTGTACAGTTAGTTGGCACGACTTTTACAAGAAGTCAAAACGAAAAATGCTGATTAGTTAGTTAGTTAGTTAGGTAGGTAGGTAGGTAGGTAGGTAGGTAGGTAGTTAGTTAGTTAGTTAGTTAGTTAGTGTCCCTTTCCCGCGCTTTACTTTGCCTCGCGGTACTTTTACCCAGTACTGTACTTTTGAGTTTGAGGTCTGGGAACAAGGTGGATTTGAAGCTGAACACGGCACTCATCCGAAGTTTCAAGTGGCAGTTGATGGCCAACCCCACTCTGTTGCACAGTTTCATTGTGGCTTGGTCTAGCCTAGTCTATTCTATTTGCTTTCAAGGTACTGGCTGCTTAGGGCTTAGGCCTAGGCATTTTGCCGTTCACACTTCACATGTGCAACCTGGCAGACCGGTTAACCACTGGGTAGGTAGGTGTTTGTTTTTTTGCTTTGCAGAAAAGGTGATGAGAGATGAATTGATTCGCATCAAGATCCTTGACCCCCATTCCCGATTCCGTCTGGAAGTCAATGTCATGCCACGTCTTGAAGTGGCCACTGAGCAGTCTCGAGTTCAGGGGCTTGAAGCACCCGAAACCAGCTTCGTCGAAGAGAGTGCTTTCAAAGCCGCATTTGGCCGTGAACCAGAGGCTCATGAAGTGGTGTTCGAGGAATGGAATGGCCAGAGAATGAGAGGGGTTACTTGATGATATTGCTGATTGCTTATATGACTCATGATTTGTGATTTGATCCCATTAGGTGCAGCCGCTAGTTGACATGTAAGTGAACAGGCTAGGGCAAGGCTTCCCAGCAATCGTCTCTGAGGTGAATGTCATGACTGGGCGTGAAGGTTGGTTCAAGAGGATCAACCAGGACAAATCCAAAGTGGCTCGCAGGGCGACATTGACCGACGAGACTTCCATTGACCAGACAGGCCAAGCTAGTGACAGAATCTTTCAGGCTGCCAAGCGCGAGGTCATCCACAAGATCACGCCTACAGTCGAAGCACCTATGGCAATGGCTGTGCGTGGATCATCTGGCTCATCTGGAAGTAAGGACCAGTACCAACCAACAACAATCATTATCATCATTATAATTCATTATTCTTATTCTTATTGTTATTGTCTTTTCGCTTATCCAATTTTAGTAGTTCTAGTTCTGTACTCGTTCTAGGGCCTAGTCTGGGGTCTAGTACTGTAAGGAATTTAGACTACCTCGATCTCTGCAGGAGTTGCCTACCAACAGTGTGAAGAATGGATCTGCTGCCGGATCTGCAGATTGTGAAGGTGATGATTCGCAAAACCCGTCTTCATCGGAAGAGAGTGAGCAGAAAACAGCAAGCGTCTTTGGATTCTTGAGAGAACGATTTTCCTCGGCTTCGGCAAGACCCAAAGCTGCACCCAAGGCAGTTGTGAAACCGAAGGCAAAGAACACCAAGAACATGAAAGGATCCAAAGGAGAGAGGAAGACCGTGCCGGGTGGTGAGAGAAACTCTACTGCATCCAAACGAAAGTCATCTTTGATTTCGCAAGATCAACATGATGATGATGATCTCTCAATGGCTGCTGCTGATCAAACGGCCATTGATGACTTCACTGCGAGGCTTGATGATCTTGCCAATCTTGCCCCTCCACTTCCAGAGGCGCAGTTCAAGCAGTACTTCGCTGAGAGAACACGGCATTGACAGCATTTGCCGCAGAAGTCAGGTGCAAGAAGAAGTCAGCCGGCCGACGAGCAAATTCTAGTGAGGACCCCTTTATGCTTTCCATGAAGCAGCTAGAAGATCGCCAGAAAGACATTTCATTGTTTGTCAAGTGTACCTGATCTGTGTTGGATATTTTTTGTTTGCTTGCGTTTGATAGGTCTCATTGCTGTGTCAGGCGGAGAAAATTTCATGCTCAGTTTGAAAGGAATGAAACGAATAGAATAGAGTCATAGAGTCATAGAGGTTAGTTAGTCAGGTTAATTAGATTCCTTTTGGTTCTGTCGAGAGTCTAGAGGCTAGAGCCTAGTCTCATCTCTACATGCTTAGTCAGGTGTAAGTGGGACTGCAGCTGTGGATTCCACAACCAGTTTGCTCACCATGATCAAAGAGTGTCAAGACGTCAAGGTCAACTTCGTTATCATGAGACGCGCCCTCAAGAACTTGGTGAACCAGGATGTGAAGCTGGTCAATTGGAACAACCTGCTGACTGAGACACTCAAGACCGTGCGCGAGAACTGGACACACTCGGATGACATGGACAGCAGTGGTTTTTTCTACTTGTGCTTGTCTCAATCGATGCAAAAGATGGTGAAGACAGCGACCCTCAAGGTGAAGGCCAAGGACTGCTGGTTTAAACAAGATAACAACAAATACTAGCTCAGCAAGTGACTTTAAAATCTAAACTTGTTTTGGTCGTTGGGTTCGCCCCTGGAACTGCCTTCTTTTCTATGCCCCAATTTGCGTGCGAACCCCACGAGAAAAAGTGTAAACTTTTTTTGGCAGAGAATAAAACTAACTTCCTTCATTGTAAGTAAAATAAAGGCCTGCCCTAAACTAAGTAATATTTCCTTAAACTTAGACTTAGACTCAGACTTGAAACCAAACAAAAAAAGAACTTGTCAGGATCCCACCTATACCGCCGGGAACAAGAAGGAATTGAATGTCATTGAGGGTTTCTTGGATGCCCTGGCTTCAGCTTCAAAGGAAGACTTCATCGAGAGAGTCTCTGCTGATGCTTCGATTGCTTTGATGCTTTTGCGTGCCGACACCGCACCTGTGGCAGATGTTCGAAGATCTATCGGCATTGTGAAGGGAATGATTGAGGACAAGAACAAGGAGTGCCTTCCACTATGTTTAAGATTTGAAAAGTTAAATTCCTTTTTGGTTTGGTTGGGTATTCAATATAGTCATAGTTATAGTTGGTTCTATTCACTTCGATTTGATTCGATTCAATCTAATTCTTTCCTATTCTAAAATTCATTTATCTATTTTCACTGTGTGTTAGTGTTAAGTTTTATTATTAAGCAGTTATTGCTTGCTTAGCTGAGCTGATAGATACAACGCTGAGGTCCTCGCATATGCTTTTGACGGCTACACTGCAATCCACCAATCTTGGAACCAAGTTGGTTGTTGACGCTAACAGCATGGTTGATGTTCGCGAGAAGGAGTTGGGTGCACAAGAGGAGTTGAATGATGCGGTGGGCAAGCTACCGCCCATTTTGGCTTCCATCACGGAGAGCAAGTTCGACGATATGTGCTTTAGCGGAGACAAAACAGTTCAAGTTCATTTCAAAACTCAAACAGTCAGTCAGCCTGAGTAGCTCATGCAGTTCCTCTTTGCTAACCTGTGTCAGCTGCATCCAAATTCAATTCTCACAAGTTGTGGAGGTCTAAGCTACCCACCAATTCTCCACCACACAAGGTGATTTAATTTTCATTGCCCCAGTTTCTTGACTTAGGTGTTCTGCGGCAATGACGGTTGCTCGCATTCTGGCTGAAATCAAATCAGACAAGTACCGCGCCAAATCTATGGGAAAGGAGGGTTTCAACCAACTCCAGGATCGTCAGAAGACTGCTGTCCTACGCTTGGTTCTCTTTTCTGCTTTGTCTGAGGCGCGGGGTTTGAATCAGATAGGCGATAGGGCTTTGGGACCAAAATGCTAAGTAAGTTACTACGACATGAGGCACAAGTCACTTCCTATCCTTTGTCATTTCTTTCGGTTTTATTTTTTTCAGCAATGTCAACCTGAAACTTTGAACTTTAAACTTAAACAACTTAAGTAGGTTAAATTAAGGCTTAAGGCTTAAGGAGTCTTCTTCTGTCTTCTTCATTCTTCATTAAAGTGTCAGACTTCAGGTTTCAAGACTCAGCTTCAAGGCTCTGTTGATCCCTTTTGGTTGTTTTGGTTGCAAGTTGCAATCAATTGCCAAATGTGGAGGTTTCTCCGTGGATCGCTTCGGCAATGCCTGCTCTGAAAGAGACTTCCATTCTCAAAGAACCTCCAGCTGATCAGTGGAAGTGGTGGAAGCTCCTCGGGAAGCTCGATTCTTTTGCCAGTTTGAAGGCCGTCATTGATCCTTTGGTGCACTTGGGAAAGCTCAGCTTTTCATTGAAGGCTGGTGCGGCAAAATCTTGCGACATGAATAAGCACTTGCAGACCCTTGCTGCTGCCACTGCAAAATGGAAGGACTGATTGCTCAAGCTCAAACACAATGTGCTAGTTTGTTGCCAAGCTGTTGCGTGCGTGTGTGCGTGCGTGTGTGTGTGTGTATGTGTTTGTGAATGCTTCTGGTGTCTCAAGTTTAGAGTCTAGAGTGTAGAGTCTAGAGGTTGAAGTTTACAGTTGAGGTAAGCTTAATGTCTGTCTTCGTCTTGAGTTTTGACAAAGATAAGAATGCTAGTTTACTAAAGTTTACCTCAAGCTTCACAGCTCTTCCCTGGAAGGACAAGATGTCCCCAATCTCCGATGAGTGCAATTTGGTGAACAAGGACGACATCAACATTCCGACATGGACTACACTCAATGAGCAGTTGGATAAGCTTGCAAAGACTTTCACCGCCATGTGCACCACTGTGGTACATCAAGATGCCATGGTCTTCAAGCAGAAGGTGCTAGACATTTTTGCAGGCTATGTGAAGAACAAGACCGTTGCAGATGTGAGCTCACATGCTAGCCAGCTAGAACTACATGCAGCGGCGTTGGACAATGCGAATCCAGAGCGTGAGGGGTTGTTACAGTTGGCGAAGTTGACTGGTCTATTGATGAATGGAGGCTGGATGTTTAAAGATTTTTAAGGTTTAGAGTTTCAAAGCTTACTGTTGAAACCGCCTAAGGCAAAAATTGAATCATTTACTGACTGTCATTTACTGTCTCTTCTTCGTTCAGAATAGAACTCTATTTGAAAATTTCAAATTTCAATCATAGAGTGCCAAACCAAAAAACATAGAGCAAAAAGGGTCGGTCAGACTCATATTTGACTTCCCCTTGGCACATGCAGGCGAGGCATTCACATTAGGGCAAAAGCATGCCCCACAGTTCCAACAGCACGATGTGTTGATGAAGTTGATTTCCGCGACCGTACCTCTGTCTGAGTATCAAGAGGACCAGTTCAGTGCCATCGAAGCCATTTGCCAGAAAGAGAAGCTTGACATCACGACAAAGGTGATTTCTGATACCATCGGAACACTGGCCGCAGAGATCGACGCAATGGTTGCTGAGTGGGCCGCTCACACAGCTCCTTTGCCCTGTTTTGTTTATCAAACGCTTTGTCTTACCTACAGCTGCTCATTTTGTTCATGTTCAAACTTAACCTGAATTTTCAGTTGACAAATCATCAGGTTTAAAAAGCAGGTACAGTAAAGCAAACCAAACGACACATTCTGTTTTGATTTTGGTCACTTTTGTGTTTGCTATGATGTCTTGACGCCAAAGGACCGACAGCTGCTTTCCGACTTGTCAGCAGTGGATGCAATGAACTTGCCAGATCCTTCGTCCATTAGCTTTGAAGATAGTGATGTCGGCGCACCAGCCCCGCCTGATCAGCCAGTTTGCCGACTTGAAGGATATTGATGCGGCTACTCTTTCTGCTTTCGCTGTGAAGATCCAAGATGCCACCTCCAAGTTTCAGGCTCGGTGAATTAGTTTATTTTTTTTTCAATTCATAATTCATAAATGGGGCCTTTCCAATTTTTCTTAGCTTTGCATTAGTCTTCTTTGCAAGCTGCCACCAGAACCCTGACTAACTATCTTGTAACTGTTAGTAGCCGCAACCTGAATTCATACCTTGCTTTTGTGTGCTGCAGCGTTCTTCCAGAATAACCCTGCCAGGAGCTTGTGGATGCGAAATTTGACATCGAGAAGCATACCAAAGAGTTCTCAAAGGGTTTGGCAGTGAAGCAGCAACTCCTCTCTATCATGGCCATTCTCACCTTGATTGGCGCTCTTGGATCGAAACGATTGAAGCAATGCATGGAAAATGGTGACGCAATCCCAGCAAAACTCCGAGCTACCATCAAGGAAGCTATGGACACCTGTTCCGAGCTTAATTTAGTCTTGCCTGGCTCTTTGCAAGCCAAGGCCACCCATTTTTCAAAGGAGTGAGGGCAGGCAGTGGTCATGCAACGACCCTGACATATATTTGTCTTGATTCTTGGTTCTTGATACATTGCCATATCATTACTCCTTATCACTGTACTGTACTATATTTCTATATTAATATGATTAGATATTGTAGATTATCATTTAATGATGTGATGAGTTCATCATCACTGATCTGCTTGCACATCTTCTAGTTCCAAGGTGCTGGCTCGACCAGCTAGGTTGTTTTCTTAGGCTCTCAGGGATGTTCGGAGATCCACAATCTTTGCTGCCCATTCAAATTCAACTCAGTGCCGTCCATGCAAAGGATAAGCGTGGGTTGTTTGTCCTTTTCTCTTTCACTTGATATGAATGGAACAAAGTTCCATTCGTGCTGAAGGAGGTGGGGGTTTTCCAAAATCCCACCTCATTAGGAGCTCTAATGCCACGTTTAGAGCCTTAAATCAAAACCGAAGGACCCTTCAAACAATGAAGGCTTGAGGCTTACATATGGACGACGGCTGGTTGGTAGGGGGAAAGTTGCTTGCTAGCTGCTTTGCTCCTGAAGGGTGTCAAGAGAGAGAAATCTTTGTCAAAGTGAGACCACTGACTACTGCAAAAAAGGACAACTCACTGCTAATGAGCAATGATTCAAAATTCAAAACATTTCAAAACTCAAAACTCTAGTTAGTTTAGTTTAGTTAGTTTCGAAGACAATGACGACGGTGCTTGTTTGCAGTTGCTTGCTCGAGTGGCCCCATAAAAACTTGCGAGCTTTGGGTGAAAAATCCAAAGCTGTTCATGGCACCGAGAAAATGCAGTGACAAGGAGAAGGTTGAGCCAAAACGGGTTAGAGGCAAAACCAAAGTGCTTTCCCCAAAAGCTGGAAAGCAGTGCAAGGAATCGTTTTTTGGGCCTGGCCAGAAAGCGGCAAAGGCCAAAGCAAAAACAAGTGCATCATCAGCAGCTAGACAAGCAAAGCAGGAGGGAAAGGGAGTTGGCCTGGGGGCGGGCACATTGCGTTTCAAATTCAAATTTTAAGGCTCCCCGCTTTCTCTCTGAGTCATGTCTCTCGGTTTTCCCATGTTCATTCATGTTTCGGTTTCTGAAAGTTTCAGGGTCAGGGTTTCAAGTCCTAATTTGAAACGTGTAGGACAAAAAAGATGCAAGCGAATTGGAAGAAGAGGTTCCTCTCGAAGAGGCACTGGGTGCTTTGATTGCGGATGAAATGGCCAAGGGTAGCATTGCATCAAGTCTTGCGGAGTTGGAAGGCAAGAGCCAGCCAATCGACCCTGTTTCCTGTGACAGTCTTGCTGCTGTCTACCGAAATTCCGATAGTGCAACCTGGAGTGATGAGCTTGAGGCTGTGATTTCAGAGATGGGCGGTGAGCAGCATGCATCCTTGGTTGAGAATGCCAAAGGCCACCCAAAGTTCAAGGACTTTTTGCTAGTATTTCTTGCTCAGCCTGGAATTGAATCGTCACTCGATTCTTCTGAGTGCCAGTTTGGCGAGTGTCAAGAGACACAGGCCGAGGACCTTTTCGAATTTATGAAGTGGCTGGTTGCAAATGGAGAAGAACATGATGCATCAGCCTCCTCAGCGCCTACTACTTCAGAAGAGAAGGGCGGGAATGAAGGAATTGAGAAGACTGAGCTCAAGGGCAAGGTTGAAGAGATTCCGCTCGCGAACCTTGTGTCGGTATTCAATGATCACATGATGTACATCAACAAGGCCATTGACCCAGAAGACGATACAACAGAATCGCCAGAGTTTAAAGCCTGGCTCCCCAAGTACCAAGCCTACCTTCAAAAAGTGGAGGCATATCTTCGCAGTGTCTCAGAGGTATACCCGACGTTGTTTCAAGACTTCAGAAACTACATGCTGAACGAGATTGGCGTGGACCCAGACATTTGGGCCTTTGGAGACCCTGTTGAGTCGGAATTGGACAGTGATCTTCGTGATTGGCGAAACTTCCTCTCCTCATCGACATCAATGGCATCTACCTTGACGATCGAGGTTGGCCGGATGATGAAGATTGCCCAGGGCCACCCCATCTTTGATGATGGCTTTGTCGGCATATTTAAAACGACCCAGAAAGAGCCCAACACAGAGACGGATAATTTGATCTTGTTTGAGGATTGGGTCGGCAGCTTGTCAGGCCCCATTGGCTTTGACGAATTCAAGAGCTTGCACCACAAGTTCCCCTTGCCTCCATGTGATGGTGCACCGGACATCAACGATTTGTTGGAGTCGGCGGCTGAGGTGGGTGGTTGATAACTATGTTCTTTAGAAAGTCTGATCTAGATGACTCGACTAGAATCTAGAATCTAGAATAAGAATCTGGCTTGGTGGGGGAGGGGAGTTGCCCAACCCTGCAGTTGATGATTCGCAAGGCAGAGGCAATGGGGGGCGTTGACATCAGTGCTGTCTTACGGTCTCTGCCCAGAAAGATTACATGGGGGATCTCTTCTCTGGAACCGGGAGTTGTACTTTGGTGTCAAAGACTTTGTTCGGCCAGTTGAAGAAGCTCTATCCAGAAGAATGCGAGGGCATGGAAGCTACTTGAGTGAGATTTGAGTTGACTTTGATTCTGTTTCCGCCTTCGGACAATGTTTGTTTTCTCGGCCAAGCTAAACGTCTTGCTCTCACTGTTTCCTGCACTTTTCCTACAGTCTTGCAGGTGGTTTACGAGTTCATGTGCGAAAAAGAGCCATACAAACGCCGTTTCCTAGAAGAGGCTTTTCCAGATGAGGATTGCTGCATTTTCAAAGATGCAACAGAGCTCTACACTGACAAAAGGGCTTGTGCTCGCCATGACAAAGGAGGAGGCTGTCAATGTGACTCTTGGTTTCAGTTCCAGTTTCGATTATTGAATTACCATTACCATGTTTATTAAGTCAGTTTAAGTTGTATAACTAGTTGTAAGTTTTTATCGTATCATATTATTGTATGTATTATATCAATCAATTGTCAGTCGTTAAGTTTATTGAACAAATTCTCTATACTTTACTCAACTCTTTTCTTTGCCTCACTTTCTCATAACAATTTCAGAGCTTAATGACGATGACGCTGACGGTGAATGATGACAATTATGATGGTGATGATGATGGTGACTATGATGATGATGATGATGATGACGGTGATGATGATGGTGGTGATGATAAATTGCTTGGTTGCTTGGTTGCTTGCTTGCTTGCCTGGCTGGTTGATTGATGATTGGTTGGTTGGTTGGTTGGTTGGTTGGTTGGTTCGTTCGTTCGTTCGTTCGTTGATTGATTGATTGATTGGTTGGTTGGTTGGTTGATTGGTTGGTTGATTGATTGACTGATTCTTTTTTTTACTGATTGAGTGGACTGACTGGATTGATTTGGTTGCTTGATTCACTGAGTATCTCAAATCTCAACATTTATTTATTCTTGACTATTTGATTGTTCGAGTGGTTGTTGATGATGATGGTGATGGTGGTGGTGATGATGATGATGATGGTGAATGGTGAATGATGATGATGATGGTGGTGGCGGCGGTGGTGGAGGTGATGATGATGATCATGTTGATGATGATGATGATGGTGATGATGATGATGATGACGATTCGATTTGTTTTGCATTCGCTATAGGTCACTAGATTGATGACCGATAGCCATACAAAATAAGCAACCTACTTCTTTTGAGCAATTCCCGATTGTCATGTTCTTAGGAAATTCCGGATGAGCTCCTGATCCTCACAGCAGGATTCTCTTGCAAGTCGTTCTCAAAGATGAATCCAGAGTATAGCAACCTTTTGGACGCAATCCGAACAGACAACAAGGACTGTGTTGTGTCTTGAAATCCAAGGCATCATTCACTATTTACCTAGACCTATATGTACATTTGGTTGATTCGAGAGAGGTGACTGAAAGTCACGAGAAGCTTTACCTGACATGTATGGTTTTGGATGTGTTGAATTTTCAAACTCCGCAGGACAGTTCTTCGGCCCAGACTTTCAATGGTACGTGTAAGGTGCTGGATGAGACTGAAGTTCAAGCCTTCATCTTAGAGAATATGGACCTCAACGATGACGATGACTCCAACCTTGACAATATCCTCAAGGCCTTGTCGCAGATCGGGGGTGGCTTTCGTGTCCGTGCCTTTAAACTGTACAGTACAGACTTCGGTATTCCGCAGCGTCGCTGCCGACTTTTCTTCATCGGCTTCTCCGAGAAGTCACAGGGAGAAGCGTCCATGGCGAAAGTTGAGCAGATGTTGCGAGGTTTTCGTCTCAAAAGGCAAACACCCGATACTTGTCAAACTGGGGGGGGCAAAGGTCAACTTTCAAAAATTTCAAAAAGAGTTTCAGTGGAGGTGTGATATGTGAGCCATGTAGAGCGATTGTTGACTTGATTCGTCTCTTTTTCTCTCTTCCTCTCTCATTCGGACTCTTACAGCTTACTTTACTTTTCTATCTTCTTTACACCAGCTGAAGGACGCATTCATGCTACCTGCCAACCATCCGGCAGTGGTTGCTGAATGTGAGCGGCGGGCTGATGTCAAGCTTGCCCGTGAATGCCCTGACGAAGATGATGATGGTCAATCCCCCAAGCGTCGTAAGAGACAGACCGAAAAGGAACCCCATGACTCCTTGGTCGAAAAGGAGACTGTCAAGTGGAAGTCACTTCACATTGAAATGGCTGAGAAGAGACACAAGGCTGAATCGACTGAACTGAGCTTCACTGAAGTAAGAAAGAAAGTTAAAGAAAGTATTTTTTGTGAAATCCCGACGACGACAAACGACAATTGACGATCCGTTTTCCCCTGCACATTGTAAAACAGGCATGGTGACATGGACTGGCAGAAATATATAGCTTGATATTTGATATGATATATGATATGCACACTGATATTTGATAATACTAGGTGAAGTTGATATCACTACTTAGATCCGACTGACTTAGACTTAGGCTGACTTATTGACACGTGTGCTTGTCCGCTAAGGAGGTATTTCGTGGCCACTTGTCGTCACTCCAGAATACTCTGAATGTGCCTGGTTTCAGACTTTGTCTTCGCGAGAGAAAGAGGTAACTTGGTTGGCTCAAGTTTGATTTTGGCCATTGTCTTGTCACGTCATTGCAGTCCATTGGAGTGATTGCTTGCTTAGTGACGGTAATTGGCTAGGGCAGCGAACAGAACAGCTCAGAACTCAGAACAACCTTTTCAATTTTCAACTGACAACTGAGAATGTTCTCTTCCTTGAGAATGAGCGCATGACACAGCAGCAAAGTGGAAAGCAACCAATTCGATTTGGCGATATCTACCAAAGTGCATCGCGCACACCAACCAGCACAGCAGATGAACTTTGGTGTCAAAGGGAGGGGTGGCAAATTCAGATTCAGATTCGCAAAGGGCTTATCACAGCTGCACTGTTGGAAGTTGGAAATCAAATCAAAGAAATTAATCTAGCCTAAGAGTCTAGTCCAATCTAATCTAATCTAACCAACTTGACTTAGCTGATCCACTCCACAAATAAACTTTGTAAAAGCTTCAAAGAACTGAGAAAGTGGAGACCTGAGAGCCTAAGGAAATTCCGACATGCTTGCCATCTTCGAAGCTTTTTGACTTGCAGGAGAAACGCCTCTTGCTCGGCCACTCGACATTCAAATTTCAAAGGCATTTGGGCCATGCAACGGGTGCCAGCAATAAAAGCAGCATTGTACCTGTAAAGTAAAAAACTGAAATTAAAGTAAATAACGTTTTTCAATTTGGATGTGTGCTTTGTACCGTACCGGGAACCCTTCACAGGCAACATGCATCCACTTGAAGTCCTTGCAGAAATGTGTGATCAGATCATATCAGATCTAAGGTCGCGAGCTGATGCACATGCAGGGGTTGCAGTTCCCTGAGAAGACCTTGCAATCGTTCACAAATGCTCAGTTGACAGACTTGAGCGGAAATGCGTTTCTTGACTAGCCTTGATTTTTTTTGACGCACTGAGACTTTGTTTTTCAGTTTGATCTTATCAGATTCACAGCAGGCACATGCACCAAACTTTATTCAGTTGATTTCACTTGAGGTTCAGCGGGCCTGTGTACCAAGCTGTCCTTTTGAGTACAATTTTACAGCTGCACTTTCCAACCGATTCCGAAATGGAAGAGGAACAAAGTTTGCTGCAGATGGCATCCAATCTGCAGAAACATCGCAAATCATGAGCACAGCTCGTGACGCGCAAAGTCTTTTTTTGACTTGGCAGTTTTTCACCCATGCATGAGCATCAAAATCCAGCAGAAACAGAGAGAGAGACCGAATCGCACAGGGGAAAAAATGCAATGTGACCACTTGCAGTCAGTCTGAGGCTGTCATCCGACATTATGGTTTGTCGAAGTCGATTAGAGGTACTATGGCTGTCCCTGCACAAAAATCTTGGGAAAATGCCAAAGTGCAACAAGTCAGATGCTGCAGCTTGCGCCAGGGCAAGCCTCACTTATTTTGTTTTTGCATTTTTACTTGACATCAAGGCATGTTTTGCCACCCCAAACACACAGACGCGTCACGAAGCCAGGTAGCTGGCAGCTGCCATGAGTGAAGTGTATAGGTATTAGTCTTAGTATATATAATATAGTAAATGTAATAGTAAGTTTGTACAAGGAAGTAAAAAAAGTAATCAAGTATACCATAGTATGTAGCATATAGTATATATTGTATCGCATTTAATTTGCCAAGAATAATTCATAGATCTTCATTCTCATTGAACATATCAACTAATTTTTAAACTGTTTAATTTAAGTTTTATTGTGCGATTTATGGGTTTATTAGTTGATATTTTTCTTACATCAGCGACATCGTTCATACCACATGGCCTCCCTGCCGTGCGCCTGTACCACCTAGTTTCCTTTCACCGTGCGCAAGTACCCCCTATTGTACCTGTGTGCCCCCGTCCAGTCCATCAGCTGTACCTAGTGCACCCCTCCACTGTACCCATCGCCCCCTTCCTACTATACCCACCGCACCCCTCCACTGTACCCATCGCCCCCTTCCACTGTATCCACCGCACCCCTCCACCGTACCCATCGCACCCCTCCACTGTACCCACCGCACCCCTCCACTGTACCCACCGCACCCCTCCACTGTACCCACCGCACCCCTCCACTGTACCCACCGCACCCCTCCACTGTACCCACTGCACCCCTTGCACCGTACCACCGCACCAGCCGCACCGTACCCCTGTACCATGCGCACCGTACCCACGTACCAGATGGCTCTAAGAGCATATGTTTTGAATTTAGATAAGTTGAAATCTTGAAAGGAACCCTGTCCAACATTTTTGCAGCTGAGTTGCTCCAGGTAGGCAATGCGTGCATCCAAGTCAGGGTCGTGGGAGTTGGGTTCCACCAGCTGCACCTCCTCTTCCTCAGGCTCCTCATCCTCTGCGTCAGAGAATGAGAATGCAACATCGTCGACGTGGAAAGGCATGGTCTCCACAGCGCTGGGGTCCACAGGGCCAGGGGCAACGAAGTGGACTGGAGCAGCGTCAGGGTGATCATCGCCGGAGTCAGGTCGCACATGTGCACCCTCTTCAGCTCCACCAGCACCACCTTCGGCACCATCCTGCCACGGCTGTTGCAAAAAAGAGCCAAAACAAAATGACATGGACCAGGCCAGACACACACACACACTATATTACGCAGCAGCAAAGCAGGCTTCACAGGCCTCGATGGCCAGCACTGCCTGGAGCTGTTCAGGGTACCACGCCGCCAAAAAGATTCGGTACAGTTCCCGGACATCTTCATCCTTGGATACAAGCGCCAGAGACAAAACATCACAACAAGCTGAGCACGAGAATGCCCGTTGCCAAACTGCCAATCAACTCAAAGAAAACCCCCCTACCAATCCTCAGCTTAGCAATCAAAGATGAATCGATTCAGTTAGCAAAACAACCAATGATGAATCAAGCAGCGTCTCACCATAGCAATCATAAATCAAACACGATCTTCAGCCTTCAGCAGTTAATATAGTGGGAGATTTGCCCAAAAGTGCGCTGATGGGAGTGACGTGTGTCAGAAGCCTAGGGTCCCTTGGCTGCCGAGCCAGCCTCATCTGGCGAAAAATGTGAGACAACATCTTTCGCACACCCCAGGCGTCCGCATGCTTGGACACCTTACCAGGCATCGCCGCAAGGTCGTCACCAAACAGCAGCTTCCAGAAAGCTTTCACCTGGCACAAAATGGGTACGAAGCAGAAGGAGGAAAGGGAAGACAGAGAAAGCGCATACTTTTTTGGGGGGGTCTCGAAGTTTGTTAAAGCTGGACTGGGTGAGAACAATAAAACTTCAACTTGCTGGGAGGACCTCCTTGCTCAAGGATTGAAGAGGCGGGGTTCGCGGGCCACCCGCCGCATCGAAGTCGAGGATCTCCACCCAAGTGTAGGCAGCATGCGTCAGCAGAGGGATGTTCAGCGAAATGACTTTCCTTAGAAAAAACGTGCTCTGGCTTGTCAACCTTTGTGTTGCACATGGCGCAGCTGCCAACGTCAAAAACGATCACCCATGTGCACCAATCCCCCACCATTAGTGCTAGCTAGGTTCTGGGACACAACGCCAACGCTTTCAGGAGTAAGCCATTGGACTAACTGCCCCCTTCCGCGGGCACCCTGGCGAACCGCTGGATCCATCTCCCATTTTTCAGCCAGGCCTGTCAAATGGATGAAAGGAGTGTCTGGGACCGCAGCCGCATCCTCCAGCGCAGGTACCAACGCCCTGGAGTTCAGAGCTAGCACTTTCACACTAAGCCAGCCACAAATGATACCCCCTTTGGGCCCAAATGGTCACCCCAAAAGGCTTTGCGTGTTTGCAAGCGCAGCCTAAAGCATCTATGGAAAAAAAAGGGCCGTGACAGGTTGAATGGAAAATAAATCTATAACCTGGGACTATACTAACTATACTGAGATTGATGCCATGGACGGTGGTCAACTGCATCCAAGCATTTGCCAGGCAGCACCTGCGTGGGGAGTAGCCGATATATAGACTTGACAAAGGTGTGGGATATGGGCTGGCAAATTTGTGGGAAACTTGGCGCGTCCCTGCACTGCCTCCGCAAAACACATTTCTTTAGCATGGCACATGCCTATCCACAGCCCGTTCGTCAAAAGCGACCTGTCCTTTCAGCACCAAACTGGCGCTCAGCTGTCCACCAGGGATTCGGCTGAGGCCGAGCTTTCCTCATTTCCCTTAGTGCCGGGTCATGGGTTGTGTCAGTTTGTTGCTTAAGGCACTTCCAGCGCACGTAGGCGTTGAAACAGTGAAGCATGGCTTTGCCAGTCAGTCAGGTATTCTCTTTATAATATTATTTCAAAAAATATATATATATAATGAGTCTCCAACGTACCTTTTTTTACCGGGGAATTATAGACAGTAAGTTCACAAAAAATGGCATGTGCAAGCATCCGCATGGGTGTTTGGTATTTGGCAATCTTGTTTTTCCTTCGTTATTGCCCATGCAGCCAAGCGGCACTCTGAATCCCTCCTTCCCAGCAAAAGTTTCACGTTTCGCCAAACAGTTTGGGACTCTAAATGATGCAGTTGTCCAAAAGTATTTGCGTCGCTTTGTCTGCCCCCGGTCCTTGTTTGCTTCGTTTGACAAGCTGAGCAACAAGGCCACCAGCGTCACAGTTTGAAAAGATGGTGTCCACGGTCTTCGCATCTAGCCTTTGCGCCTCAAGCGCTTAGACAGGTGTCACCACTGGTGGTGACTTGCGATTGGGAGCCAAACCTTTGGAAAGACATGAGGCTGAATGAGCACCAAAGAGTAA